GGTTACCGCCTCGCCGCGACTGTGATCACAAGATCCCTCTCATTCCAGGGGCCCAACCAGTGAATATCCGACCCTACCGGCACAAACCAGAGCACAAGAAGGAGATCGATGCTTAGGTGGAGGAGCTTCTCCGCAAAGGCGTTATCCAGAAAAGCAGCAGTCCCTTCTGTTCGCCAGCCATTCTCGTCAAGAAGAAGGATGAGACTTGGAGGCTCTGTATCGACTACAGACACCTCAATGCCATCACTTACATCGCCAAGTACCCCGTGCCTATCATTGAAGAGTTGTTGGACGAGCTGCACGGGGCAGCCTGGTTCTCCAAATTGGATATGCGCTCGGGCTATCACCAGATCCGCTTGGCAGAAGGGGAAGAGTACAAGACCGCGTTCCAGACACATTTAGGCCATTACGAGTTCTTGGTGGTTTCCTTCGGGCTAGCGGGTGGGCCGACCACGTTCAACGGAGCTCTGACAACCACTCTGAAACTAGTTGATCGCAAGTGTGTGCTCCTCTTCTTCGACGACATCCTCGTGTTCAGTAAGACTCTGAGAGACCACATCAACCATCTACGACAAGTGTTGCAGCTTTTGTGCCGGGATCAATGGCACGTGAAGATGTCCAAGTGCGAGTTCGGTCAGCACAGCCTATCATACCTGGGACACGTCATCAGCGATCGGGGAGTGTCCACGGAACCAACCAAGATACAAGCAGTATCCAATTGGACGACCCCAACTGACGTCAAGGCAGTCCGCAGCTTCTTGGGGCTAGCGGGGTACTATTGAAGATTCGTCAAGAACTTTGGAGTCATAGCCCGGCCGCTGTTCAACCTTCTAAAAAAAGGAGCACTGTTTGTCTGGACGCCAGCCACAGATACAACATTCCAGCTCCTCAAGCAGCACCTGATCGAAGCACCAGTGCTAGCACTCCCCAACTTCGCCAAGCCATTCATGATCGAGACCGACGCATGCGACAAAGGGATCGGAGCGATACTACAGCAGGATGGCCACCCTATCGCTTATATGAGCAAAGCCTTGAGTCCTCGATACCAAGGACTCTCAACCTACGAGAAGGAATACTTGGCAGTTATTGTGGCCGTAGACCAGTGGCGCCCCTACCTCCAGCATGCCGAATTCACCATCCTGACTGACCAGCGCAGTTTGACCCACCTGACAGAGCAGAGGCTATCAACGCCATGGCAACAAAGAGCCTTTACGAAACTGCTGGGACTCTGTTACGTCATCAAGTACAAGAAAGGAGCTGAAAACACGGCAGCGGATGCATTCTCCAAAGCGAAGGCAACTGAAGTCCTGCACACCATTAGTGTGTGCCAACCAGCGTGGCTCGAAGACATTGTCAGCAGCTACAACACCAACCCAAAGGCGCAAAAACTCTTGGAGCAGTTGGCTGTCCGAGAGGATCCAAAAGGGCGATTTTAGTTACAGAACGGACTGCTCCGCTTTCGTGGTCGCATCTGGCTGGGAGGAACCATAGCGATGCAGCAGCGCATCATCTCAGCTTTCCATGACAGCCCAATGGGGGGCCACTCCGGATTCCCAGTGACCTACCGCTGCATCCGCAGGCTATTTGCCTGGCCCAAGATGAAGGCGCATGTGCAGCAATATGTGCGATGTTTTCAGGTGTGTCAGCAGGCCAAGCCAGACCGCACTACGTCGCCAGGGCTGTTAATGCCACTGCCAATCCCCAAAGAATCGTGGGATCTCATCACCATGGACTTCGTGCACGGATTGCCACAATCGGGTCAACACAACTGCTTGCTTGTGGTGGTCGACAAGAGGACTCGGTTTGCTCATTTCCTTCCTCTTGCGCATCCTTATACAGCATCTAAAGTGGCCAACATCTACATGCAACAACTATACAAGCTGCACGGTTTCCCTGGAGCTATCGTATCTGACCGTGACCCAGTTTTCACTAGCCACTTTTGGCAGGAGCTGTTTAAGTATGTAGGTACGGAATTGCGCATGAGCACAGCGAACCACCCGCAGACTGATGGCCAAACTGAGCGGGTCAACCAATGCATTGAGACGTACCTCCGCTGCTTCATTCAAGCGTGCCCGAAGCGCTGGAGTTTTTGGGTACCTCTGGCGCAGTTCTGGTGCAACTCCTCCCACCACTCAGCCATCGGAATGACGCCATTCAAGGCCATGTTTGGGAGAGAGCCAAGGCACTGGGGGATAACTGCTTCGACATCATCGTCAGTGTCAGCGCTGCAAACCTGGCTCGAGGAACGAGAGGTTATGCAAGACCTCATCCAACAGCAACTCCACCGCGCGCGCCAGATCATGCAGGACCAGGCGAACAAGAAGCGCTCTTTTCGCCAGTTCCAGGTCGGTGATCAAGTCTTCCTCAAATTGCAGCCTTACATCCAAACATCGGTGGCTCCTCGGGCAAACCACAAGCTCAGCTACAAGTACTACGGCCCGTTCAAGATCATCGGCAAGGTCAATGATGTCGCCTACAAACTGCAACTTCCTCTTCATGCAACAGTACACCCAGTCTTCCATGTGTTGCAGCTTCGACAAGCTCTGCTACCAGGCACCACCGCGTCCACAACTCTGCCGTCAGAAGCAGGCGGCACGGCAATCCCGATCAAGATCCTCCAAACAAGATGGCGCAAGAAGAACGAGACCATGATCGAGCAAGTCCAAGTCCAATGGTCGGCAGGCGCGGCGCTCGACACCACCTGGGAGGACAAGCAGGCGCTTCAAGCTCGCTTCCCCCATGCGGAGGCTTGGGGGCAAGCCTCGTCTCAAGGAGGAGGGGATGTTAACCCCCCTGACGGCCCGGCTCCATCGGACGGCCCGGCCCCAACTACAAACGAGGCGAGGACTCGGCCCGGCCGCAACCGTCGCTGCAACCCATGCTACTGTGGCCCAGAGTGGGTCAACCGACCCGGTCCAGCTGCTACCACTACTTAAGCTGCACTGCCTCTCCTTTCCCCCCATCCAGTGGATCACGAACGGCGGCGGCGGCAAGAACCCTAGATACTCTCGATTCCCATTCGTGTAATCAAGTCCAAACTAAATCGCCACTGAGTGACTATAGATCGATTCTCTCCCTTGCTTGTCCCTAACACTCTAAGACCACGTAAATTGCGCTTGTACCCTTTTCAACAAATAACATGTTCACCGAGGAGTTCTCAATTGGAAATTTCCAAGAATGTGCAAGATGCAAATAACCCCCTGACCACACACCACTCGTCTTTCGCCGATAAGCCGTCCTAGAAAAGACAAGCATTGTCCTGGCGCACATGACAAAATGACAGAGAAGAGAGGAGAGGGAAGAAGAACGAGGCAGGCAATAAATGGGGGCGAGGTAATAATAATATAGGTTGCGGTCTTCAAAACACACAGGGCGTTTGGTGTGACCCCATTGTCGATATCTCCTCTCCTCACCCTTCCCTTGTGTTCTTCAATTCAATTCTGGCCAGAAGCTGCCCCCCTTCTCCTCCTCCCTTCTCCCTCCTGGTGCGCAAAGATCTTCAAGCTCTTCAAGATTCAGCAGGCCGGTAGGTACGCCGCAGCATCCTTTTATCTCGTTGCTTTGTGTGATATCTCGAACGGCTGTGCTGTTGGGGGGTGAAAGAAAGATTGTTGGTGGTAGCTCCTTTGGGGATCCAATCCAGAGGTCCTGACCCTCTCACCATTTCTTCTTGCGATGGTTTGGCTTGGTGCCATTTCCCTCGAATCTGTCCCGGATTGCTAATTGTCTGTGGTTCCAAATGTTTTTTCTTCTCCCAAATTGTCACTTGTGTGTAGACTAGTCCATTATATCTTCATTTTCTCCTTAACTAGCAAGATTGTGTTATGGAGAGCTCTTGACCAGAGCCGCTCGTCGGGTGCTTCTTCTCAACGAAATCTTCCGTTCCAGTTCCTGTGTTCGTCCGTTTCAGTGTTCCTTAGATTAATGAGTTTGGCCGGCGCTGCCACATGATTTGGTGCCGCATTAGATTATTAATCAATCACTAGACCAGTAGCCCAAGGGATCCAAGAATAGATATGCAGAAAAAGAATGCGGCAGGAGGAAGGAAGTAGTAGGTTCTTTGCTTTGGCCCAGTTGGCATCCCATCAAGTGATGCTTGATGCCATTTGTTTCTTCTTGCTGCTGTTGGTGCCAAAAATCATTATACTTATTAGTAGTACTACTACTTCTCTGAAAGGGGATAACATACCAATGTGGCCTACTTATTAGTTTTTTGTAAGCTAAAACATTTTTGTCTGACAAGTAGGCCTACATGATATACAGTATGGTCTAAAGGTAGGCATCAGTAGATGCACCGAGGAAATTAAGGCAGAAAAGAAGGAGCAGAAAGCGTTTGAGAAAAGGGGATAAAAACGTTTGTGTCTAGTACATCTTTACACCTCAGATGCTGGTCAAATTGTCCTGAAAAGGCCCTCAATCAGAGGCTTAGATAACATGAACAATACTTTAGAAAGCATGCTGGGATTTTTTTTAATCCTTGTAATTGTTTGTCAACACTGCATTGGTTGTAGCAACAGGTTGGTTGTCCATTTGCTTCCTCCTTCTGGTACTAGTGTAATGTATTATACTAGTTTCAGACTGTCGGTGCTCCGTCGCATCATGTACAACTCAACGTTGTGCAGAAAAAATATATCAGTTTTTCTGGGGAAAGCGGTGTCGTTCTTAAGCATATTTACAGTGTTTTTATTGCGAAAATCGTATTGGTACATGATGTGACTGCTCATCAGATTCTATTGGAACAAAGGTATCATTTCTGCAATGATTCGGTTAAATTTGTCATAACTCTTGGCATTAGGAGAATGAATTGATTAGATCTGTTGGGTGGACATGATAACTCTTGAATTAGAAAAACACACTAGGCTGATTTGTTGTGTGGATACCACTAGTCCTCATCTCGGAACAGAAAGGGGTTGACTGCCATGCCATGCATGTTACTCCCCTAGTGGTACTGGTATAGTCATGACAGCCCTATCCTTCTCCATGTTTCTCAAGTGACAATCATGGAGGCAAGTGTCCGTTATTATACACCTCTCATCTTGCATGGAGGAAACACCATGATTTTCATCCTAGTTGTCATGCAACTTTCTCCCTGGTTTTTCACCTTTGCAGTATACTGTACACTGCCCCTGTCTCCTCTCTTGTCAATAAATCTTGCTTCATCACCTTCCTCATTTGTGACAAAACCTAACAAGTTACTAGTGTTTTCTCAGAAAGAGATCATGCCGTGCGCCGCCGAGCTTGTCAACGGTGAGGGGGGCGCCATCAAAGTGGGCACAACCGGCACCATCGGCTCGCTCATGACGAGAGAACTGGAGGCCATCAAAGTCACGCCGCAAGGAGCTGCCACCCCGCGCCTGAGACGCCAAAGCAGTCCGGTTTCGGTGCCCTGCGGCGCTAGCCCCCGGAAGATCATCCCAAGGAAGAGCTCGTCCAGTGTCTCCAGCAGCAGCAATGGCAGAGCTGACCGTGTGAGCGCTGAAGAAGCCTGCAAGACAAGGAGGAGCTCTCAGCGGAACAAGTCCAGCTCCCCAATGCTGCACTCGGACGGTGTGCTGGTTGACAGGAGCCCCAACTTCGAGAAGGCCAAGAAGAAAGGAAATGTGCATGGCGTCGAGGTGGTGGATGTCAGGTGCGGTAATCCGATGAGCAGCCGCCTCAGGAAGCTGGGTTTCTCCAAGCTGTCGGAGACCTTTGCCTAGCCCTAACGGAAGATGACTGAAATCAAAGCTGCTGCTGTTGTTGCTGCCCTTTCCTGGAGGGCATCTTGGGTTTCTTTGTGCAAGCCTTTGGAGGGCAGTACGATGCCATCTTTGGTGAGCCAATCATTTCATCCACCTGACTGCATCCCTGTGTGTCGCAATCCCGTTTAGGTCAGCTTTCCTGCTCATGTGCTCTGATGCGTGGAAAGGTAGTCTAGAAAAGCATTTCCCATCAGAAGCTAGATGTCAAATTGTCAATGGATGATATAATGTAGTTCTCGGAAAACCTGGCTTCTGGAGTACTCCCTGCGTTCTGAAATAGATAGATGACCCAACGTTGTACTAACTTTGTACTAAAGTTAGTATAAAGTTGGTCATCTATTTTGGAACGGAGAGAGTAGCAGATAAGCTTCCTAGACTCTTGAATTGAGTTGATGCTCTTAAGTGAACAATGCAGTTTCTGTCACCGTTAGATCCCATGTGATAGAGACTAGAACGAATGTACCCTTTACTGCTGCAACTCGCAGTGGAAGAACTTGCGAGTACTGCCTAAATAGCAGCTATACTTTACTGAACAAGCATGATTGGTGGTCAGTGTCGTGTTTTGTGAGCCAGCAGAGAGGTGAGTCCCACGGAGGAGAGAGAGACCCGATGGAATTTAATTTAGAGTTTTTTTTACGGAAAGCCTTCATTGCTAGCTTTATTAACTTCGAATAATACTTACATCGACTGCTAAAAATTTAACAATGAGAAACTCCGAGGTACGTCCATCCACACAGTCGGATTGTTCGTACGCCCCATTTAGCTAGCTCATGAGCCACTGATTCTATTACTATGCTCAATAGTAACCTTCCCGACTTCACGCAATAACTCTATGCAATCATCTAGTATTGGAGCTGCGACCATAGAATCTCTCATGAGCCACTACATCGAGCCCACGACCTAGAATGTCCCTTGTTAAGACATAGAGAATCCACCACAATGATATTGTCCATTCTCACTAGCACATTGTTGCATCTAAGGCTTTGGATTAGCTTCAATCCTCCCCGAAGTGTCGCTCCTTCTGCTGATACAACATCTGCAACTTGCTCAAAATGTGAAGTGAAAGCTGCAATAATTACCCCTGTGGTGTCTCGTCTCTAACGATAGCTCTGCATGATCCTGAGTGAAATCCCTCGCTGAACGAAGCATCAACATTCAATAATTGTTGTGAAGCTAGAACAATAGGCCATCTATTCTGTCTAGGGGTAGGAGTTGCTTTCGCAGCCACACGAGTGAAATTTAGGGCCAACGCATGTATTGCTGTGGATTTTGAATCCTTTCTTTCCATCTGTTGCCCTAAATTTTCATCCATCCATTTATCTGACAAATACTGAATATCATGACAGAATGGATGGATGGTAAGAAAGGACTCGCTGGTAAGGCGAGTCCTTTCTTTCCATACGAGTCCTTTCTTTCCATCCATTTACTAATTTCTGAATCCTTTCTATTAAATGTTTAAAACAACTCACCTTGTCAACTCCAATCATTGAGGGGAGGCCCAAATATTTGTCTGATAATGATTCTGTCATGATATTCAGTATTTGACAGATTTCTGCCTTCACGTCCACCTCTGTATTGGGACTGAACAAGATCGAACAATTTTGCTTCACTTACCAGACGTCGAATAGTACTCATCTAGGATTGTTATTATTGTCCGGGCATTTACCTGATCTTCTCATTAAAATGAGTGAATCATCAGCGAACAATAAATGAGAAATCTTTGGGGAGTCACGACACACCTAAACACCCCCAAGTTACCAACTCCCTCCTCATGGGCAATAAGTGCAGAGAGGCCTTCCGCACACAGGAGAACCAAATATGGGGAGAGAGGGTCCCCCTGACGAGGACTTCTTGTTGGTGCAAAATGTAGTGTTTCATTAGAATTGAATCGTACCTTATACTCAATGGAAGTGACACATGCCATCACCAGTTTTATCCATCTCTGGTCAAATCCAGGCTTCCCAAGGATAGCTTCCAAGAACACCCACTCGACATGATTGGCGCCAGGAACCTGCCGCCGGAGGTACGCCGCGGCCACGCCGGGATGGCGAGTCCTTTCTTTCCATCCATTTACCAGTTTCTAAATCCTTTCTATTAAATGTTTAAAACAACTCACCTTGTCAACTCTAATCATTGAGGGGAGGCCCAAATATTTGTCTGATAATGATTCTGTCATGATATTCAGTATTTGACAGATTTTTGCCTTCAACTCCACCCCTGTATTGGGACCGAAGAAGATTGAACATTTTGCTTCACTTACCGACTGACCATACGCCGAATAGTATTCATCTAGGATTTTTCTCAGTGTCTGGGCATTTACCTGATCTGCTCTCATTAAAATTAGTGAGTCATTAGTGAACAATAAATGAGAAATCTTTGTGGAGTCATGACACACCTGAACACCCTTCAAGCTACCAACTCCGTCCTCCTGGTCAATAAGTGCAGAGAGGCCTTCCGCACGCAGGAGAAATAAATATAGGGAGAGAGGGTCCCCCTGACAAAGACCTCTTGTTGGTGCGAAAGGTAGTGTTTCATTAGAATTGAATCGTACCTTATACTCAACGGAAGTGACACATGCCATCACCAGTTTTATCCATCTCTGGTCAAATCTGAGCTTCCCAAGGATAGCTTCCAAGAACACCCACTTGACATTTGGCTCTAGGAACCTGCCGCGGGAGGTACACCGTGGCCCGCCAGGATTCCTTTTCCTGATTCAGTCCAGCGCTGACCAGCAGAGGTCGCACATGGTGGCGGCAGCAGAAATTGCCGAGGCCAAGAAAAGAGGTGAGAAACGCCAAGAAAGTAGCTTAATTGGGGAGCACCCCACCGTCGTCATCCGCTGACGGCCTCCTTCGGCGGCGGTAGGGTGAACGAGGTGGCGAAGAGGAGGATTTTTTGGATGGTGGCGGGGGGCCTTTGGAGTCGCCTCACGGACAACCCGGGTGGCTAGGGCGTTTCCAAGCCCCCATAGTTCACATCCACCAATTATGTTATGTTTGTAGTAGGTGATGAAATGGATGTTGGAGTTAGAGTGAGGGCTGTTTAATTTCCATGCTTCAAAACCTGAGCCCACTGACAAGTGCATGATCTAATTCAGAGTGCAATAGTAAAGAACTAGTTCAGACAAGTGCATGATCAATTTCACATAAATTCCGTAGCATGATCAAATTCCTACAAAATTTAGTGCAAATTTTAGAGAATCAAGTTCAGTACAGTGCATCATCAAATCAGTAGACCATGTAGTGTCTTCTTCCAGATCAATTGGTTATGTTGGTCTTTTAGTAGGTGCCTCAACTTCGAAACTCCATGCCTCTTATTTCCTTTGCCAATGTTTTGCTTAAGAATTTCATCAGGCTTGACCTCATTCAGGTGGTAGATAGGTGTGATCACAGCAGGCAAGTGAACAGCAGGATGTTGCACCATATCATCAGGTTTGTTTGGCATCATACTGTTGGTTTGGTTAGCGTAAATACGGAGAAAATGTTGTGGTACATAAGACATAATATCCCGAGTGCCATCCATCGAAATTAGCTTTGTCAATCTGTTAGAGTTCACATTGCCACGGTTTGCAATTGTAAATAGGTATATTTACTGGCTGATTAAACCTACTTTCTTAACCAAATCATGAACTTGTTGTGTTGTCCACTGCTCCTCGTCAAAGAAATTATAGCAGACTGATTTTCCACCCACATAAGACCTGTATTTGCCGCCACCAAGGAACCATCCTCCATAGTTCACTTGTACATTGAACTGTTTACTTCTTGGAGCTAGATTGGTAATATTGAGATCAGCAAGAATCCAACAAACTGGAGCGTAATAGTTACTACAACACTTTGAGGATATGATATTTTACTACAACAACTCATAGATCTATTGAACCCCCTCTTCACATCTACCCCAAAATCGAAAGACTCAAACTAAAAGGCAGAAATCACGTAAATACATGCATCCACTACAATAAAAAAGAGACACATTCGTGATAATACGCGTTTGTTACAGTAGGCCATATTTTCTGTCACCCATGTACATCAGTGATGGTTTTGTAACAAAATCAAGATAGTTATGCTTGTGCTGTCGGGGATATGTTCCATGACAATACTGGCTTTTTCATCACAGAAGTGTCAACTTCCATGATGATAGCTGGCGCGTGATACGTCTCCAACGTATCTATAATTTTTTATTGTTCCATGCTATTATATTATCTGTTTTGGATGTTTAATGGGCTTTACTATACACTTTTATATCATTTTTGGGACTAACCTATTAACCGGAGGCCCAACCCAAATTGCTGTTTTTTTGCCTATTTCAGTGTTTCGCAGAAAAGGAATATCAAACTGAGTCCAAACGGAATGAAACCTTCGAGAGAGTTATTTTTGGAACAAACGCAATCCAGGAGACTTTGAGTGGATGTCAAGGAACAAACGAGGCGGCCACGAGGTAGGAGGGCGTGCCCAGGGGGTAGGCGCGCCCCCCACCCTCGTGGGCCCCTCTTGGCTCCCCTGACCGACTTCTTTCGCCTATATATATCCATATACCCTGAAAACATCCGAGAGCACCACGAAACCCTATTTCCACCACCGCAACCTTCTGTACCCGTGATATCCCATCATGGAGGGCTTCTACATCAACACCATAGCCTCTCCGATGAATTGTGAGTAGTTTACCACAGACCTTCAGGTCCATAGTTATTAGCTAGATGGCTTTTTCTCTCTCTTTGAATCTCAATACAAAGTTCTTGATCTTCTTGGAGATCTATTTGATGTAATTCTTTTTGCGGTGTGTTTGTCGAGATCCAATGAATTGTGGGTTTATGATCAAGATTATCTATGAACAATATTTGAATCTCCTCTGAATTCTTTTATGTATGATTTGTTATCTTTGCAAGTCTCTTCGAATTATCAGTTTGGTTTGGCCTACTAGATTGATCTTTCTTGCAATGGGAGAAGTGCTTAGCTTTG